TTAACAGACATTTATTCAAACATTGCCTTGACATAGAAGCATCTTTATCACAGTGAAGCATTTATATTTTTATTCACAAAGATGAAGTAGGAAAGTAGTGTACAGAGTAACAAATCAATGTTTTGAATACAATCTCATTTCTGTTTAAAAAATATTTTGGATCTCTGGTTTAAATGGCACTAGGCTAGAAAGTTGCCTCACGATTTCCAGATGGATACTCACAGGTGTTTAGGAAAAGAGAAATACTCCACAATCTCAAAAACTGATATTTGGAATCAAATTACTGCCAGAATCTAGGCAGAATTTCTATGATAAAGTTGAAGAGTCTGCAGTGAGAAAAATGACTTTTGACTATCACATTCCTTCTTTCATACCAAAGAACAGTCATTCATACAAAAAGAAGCAGGTAGATTCCTGAGATCCTTGCAGTCTTAGGTTTTATAACTAAATAAAAGGGAAAAGGAGCTGTGCTACTACTGTAAGTATGAAGCTTTTTAAAGTGCCCATAGAGGCTGGGGCCAAGATGGCAGAGGAGTAGCAGACTGAGATGACATCAGGTCCCAGGAGTTCAGCTAGATAGTTATCAAACCATTCTGAACATCTACAAACTCAACAGGAGATCGAAGAGAAGAAGAGCAGCAATTCTAGGAATAGAAAATCGACCATTTTCTGAACCATAGGATGTGTGGAGAAGTGAATCCAAAATGATGGGAAGATAGACCGGGGGTGGGGGTGGCTCCCAGCAAGCAGTGGAGCAACAGAGCACAAAATCAGAACTTTTGGAAGTCTGCTCCACTGAGGGACTTTGCTCCAGAGGGTAAGCGGGGGTGGAGCCCTCATGGGGACAGTGTGGTCTCAGGTCCTGTGGGATCACAGAAAGACTGGGGGTGTCTGAGTGTGTCAGAGCTCCCAGGTATCAGAGCAGGGAAGCCAACTACAGAGACAGAGCCGAGGAGTGTTTCAGATCAGGGTTACCTTAAACCGTGATCCAAGGCATAGTGAGGGCCACTGCTCTTTAAGTAGGGACCTCACAAGTGGCAGATCTGGAGAGACCCTCTCCTTCCTCTTCTAGGAGGAGCAGTGCAGGAACACGTGGCAGGAATCTGCTGGGTTTGGAGACTCCAAATGGGGCTGTGGGCCAGAGATAGAAATGCTCAGTCACAGGCCAGGTGAGCACAGAGTGCAGCTGGAGACAAGGGAGAGAAGAGTGATTGACTGCTTTTCTCTGGGGGCACACTGAGGAGTGGGGCCCCAAGCTCTTGGCTACTCCAGGCTGGTGATTGGGAGGCCACCATTTTCATTCCATCCTCCAGAGCTCTATGGAAAGCATTTAGTGAACAGAAGCTACTGAGAGCAAACCTGAGCAGATTACTTAGCCTGGCCCCTGGCAAGGGCACTACAATTCTGCCTTGGGAAAAGACATTTGATACTCACTACAACAGGCCCCTCCCCCAGAAGATCAGCAAGAACATCCTGTCAAGACCAAGTTCATTAATCAATCAAAACTGCAGAACTCCAGAGCTAGGGGAAAGCAACACATAGAATTCATGGCATTTTCCCCATGATCCTTTCGTCTTGCAAAGTTAGGGGTGCCTGGGTGGCTCAGTGGGTTAAGCCTCTACCTTCATCTCTAGTCATGATCCCAGGGTCCTGGGATCGAGCCCCACATCGGGCTCTCTGCTCAACGGGGAGACTGCATACCCCCCCCCCCGGCCTGCCTCTCTGCCTGCTTGTGATCTCTGTCTGTCAAATAAATAAATAAAATCTTTAAAAAAAATTAAAATTAAAAAAAATCTTTTAAAAAAAGTTAATTTTTTTATTTTATTTTTTTCTATTTTTTTAACTTTTCATCTTTCCTCTTTTAAAATTTTTAAACTAGTTTATCTTAACAATACCTTTCTTTAAAAAAAATCTTTTTAAACTTTCATTGTTACAGTCATATTTAATCCCTTCATTATATTTAACCTTATTTTTGGTATACATATAGATTTTTTTGTTGTAGTTCTTTAAAATTTTGGGATACAATTTCTTCTAATAGATCAAATTATACCCTAAATCTAGCACATGGCTTTGTTCTAGTCTCCAACGTGAACACATTCTCTTCTCTTCTTTTTTCTTCTTCCAACCAACTTATTTTATCAATTCCTTTTTTAGAATTTTTTTTAACTTTCATCTTTACAGTCATAGTCCATTCCTTCATCGTGTTTACTCTTATTTTTGTATATATATAAGTTTTTCTTTCTTTAAAATTTTGGGAGGTAGTTTCTTCTAAGAGACCAGAATACACCCAAAATCAAGTTAGTGGCTCTGTTCTATTCACCAGTCTAATATATATATATATATTTATTTATTTTTATTTTTTATTTTTATATATCTTTCACCCCTTTTTCCTCCCCAGTATTGGGTCTCTTCTGATTTGGTTAGCATATATTTTTTCTGGGGTCTTTGCCACCCTTTTAGCATTTTATTCTCTCATTCATATATTTTTATCTGGATAAAATGACAAAATGGAAAAACTCACCACAAAAAAAAAAAAAAAGAACAAGAGGCAGTACAATGCCTATGAACATAATCAATATGGACATTGGTAATATGTCAGAATTAGAGTTCAGAATGATGATTCTCAAGGTGCTAACTGGGCTTGAAAAAGGTATGGAAGATATTAGAGAACCCCTTTCTGGAGAAACAAAATCCCTTTATGAAGAAATAAAAGAACTAAAATCTAACCAAGTTGAAATGAAAAAAGCTATTAATGAGTTGCAATCAAAAATGGAGGCTCTCACTGCTAGGATAAATGAGGCAGAAGAGAGAATTGGTGATATAGAAGACCAAATGACAGAGAATAAAGAAGCTGAGCAAAAGAGAGACAAACAACTACTGGACCATGAGGGGAGAATTCAAGAG